TAAGAAATATGTAGTTTTCTAGCAACTGTGGCTACTGTTTTCGTATATATGAACCCAGATAATTCACGTTATGTTACGCATAAATGGATCGATTGGTTTGTTTTCTTTTTCTCACTGAAATAAACGTTGCCACAGGGGTTTTATCGCTGTAATACCGATTTTACATTGTGCTATGAAGATCTGCCGCAGTCAGCCTTCATGTTTCATAGAGCTATCTACACCCGCTGCAAGCAAGCTAAAAGTCATAGGGTGGATCTTCGTCCAAAGGGGATGCGTGCTAATTTGTAATCATTCGGTGTCTTCAATAGGCATTTGCTTGAAATGTGCTATACGAACAATTCGAAGACTACAGCTGTTGTGATTGTCAAATCATTATCTGGTCGATCCCGGCATGGCGCGTGCATTATTTGAATCGCGTAGCTTTGAAGCATGTATCTGGTACGAAATAAAATAGTGCTTCTGTCCACTAATTTACGCCTCATATGTTTATATAATCTGTATTACCTTATGTCATCAAATACCAATTGTCGTAGATAAAGTAGACGAGTTGAAGACAACATGATGTCCTTTGCCAATTTGAATTCGTTACGTACTAAAAGTGAGCTCATTTTCAAGTTCCTTCATCTTGTGATATTCTTTTCCATTTTATTTGCTACAAAATTGTAGCTCTGTATAGTGAATTTATCTGTGTGTGTATGCGAGAGGTCATTATATAGCTGCCTCGTTGCCTCACCCCTATGCCGTTGACACTTATTGCTGCTAATAATTGCCCTAGGTAATTAATATTACCACGTACTCTTTAATCTTTCTTATTTTTTAAACCTTTAGCCGTTTTTAGAAATTGCTTCATTATTCTAGTCTGTGGAGTTCGTAGTTGTTGCTAACTAGCCTGAAAAAGCGTCCACGTTGGCCAATTTATACGTACCTAAGTAGTACCACCAAATTAGAACAAGACCGAACTTGCAGGCCGTAAGAACACACATGTAGGTATGTAATGTATGTATATAATGTATGCATGTGTATATATCTCTACCGTGTATGCATCTTTCTTATCTATTCAAGCCACTTTACTGCTACTACTGCTGCCGCTGCTAGTGATATTGTCGGTTTTCCCTTCAGTGCTAGCTGCGGCGGTTCTGTAGCTAGGTGGATGGTCATCTAATTGGGTCGAGAAGGGTGGATAAGATCTGTTGCTCTGGTCAACCTTTCGTAGCAACCGTGTTACAGTTATGCGGTTGTACCTGGTCGGTAACAATGACGTCAGCGGTGGCCGCATGGGCCGTGGACACGTTATAGGCACAAAGATCTTTTCAAGCTTCGCCCACCCATGTCTTTCGATGGTCTCCTTGACATCAATTTTCCAATTCTCTCTCTGTTTCTCTGCATTTCTATCTACTTACATCTAAATGTCTGTGAAAATTTAGATAAACATAAGGCGATAGGTTGCACTTTTTTGTCGTTCATTCGTTTCAGTTGTATCCAGTGGATAGATCTCAGGAAGGTGCTTTCGCTGATCTTGTGACCCATTACGTGGGCTAGTTTCAGGATCGATCAAATGCCAGTTTGATCTGTGTCCCTAAACAAGGACGACAATGTAAATCAGAGCGCAGCGTGATCGCGTGCGCGAAGCTTCATGCTGACTGCGTTGCATCGTCCGTCATTTCCTTCATTCTACTGACTGAGCCGATTACCAGATGGGTGTGGTACTCGCGGCATTACATACGAGTTCGCCTCTGTCGCCTTCCTCATTCTACTCACCCCCCTTGGTATTCGGCAACCCGCAGACTATCCTTCCTATACACTAGATCCCGCGCTCTCATTGTATTATTTTTCCGCTTCAATAGAGACGAGTGAAAGAGTGAACTGTTTCTTTCGTCCGACCTTCGCGGCGATTGGGTGAGTCGTCGATGGTGGCGCAGTCGTAATGGCCTTTGCTGCATTTGCGACAACTAGTCCAGTACCGTGTAGAACCCGTTGTCGGTTTTGCTGTTTCGGCTTGGAATTCTGAAGGTAATTTTCCTCTCGAAACAAGAAGCGAAAGTCGCGCTGACTAATGAATTCCTAAATTGTTAAGAACCGCCCGAACTCTTACAACCTGGTACGCAGGTTTGACACGGATCTTACGGAACGACATCAAAGTATGGGAGAACCTAAGTCAGTGACGATGGAGTGAGTGTTGACGCTCGTGAGCCCAATAAGTGAAGTCAGTCGCGCGGAAGTGGCTAGGCACAATAGCGGGATGGATGGCGTACTGTTGTGAAATTAAAGTTGTGTGCAACAAACAGGTTAGGTTTAATTAAATGCGGAGCAGAAGTAGCACCAGCCCTGGAGCATACATATCTTTTCGGCCAATAAAAGAAGGAATACCTGCAAGCAATCGGTAAACAGAATCCGCTGAGGGTAGACCAGATTGTCCTGTTTGCTCTACGGCCGAATAGGTAATCGCATTTTAGTTGGTATATAGATGCGCACGTCCCGGAGACGTGTATGTATTGTATCTATATTAGACTGTAGCATAAGCAAGGTTGGATGTATAAAAAAAAAATGTAATCATTCACATATAGTTATCTATATCATGTACAGCCATATACACCAATGCGTAAAGCAGCAGATGCTCACTGAGACGGAAGGTCAGATAACCTGGTAAAAGAAAGACCTTTCAAAAAGAAGAAAGACCTTTCACTAAAGAGCCAATATGTGTGCATATTTGCTGGGAAGTGCTGAAATAGTAACAATTGCGAGATTTGTGTAATAGCTTATTTTTGCATGCTAAAATCAATTAACAGTAATTAAGTACCAGTAATGAGGTAGTTTAATAATTACAAATTGTCTTAGTGGTGCCTAAATAGATAAATCACGTCTGATTTTATCACATTGTTACTGACATCTGACATTCGAACATCACGGACGAAAGATCGGAATCATACATGACGCAAATAAAGATGAAAAAGGCCAAAGGGGAAGTAGTGGCTGCGATTAGTTGGAAAGGTAAACGTTTCAAGTGTAAAAAAGCAAGGGAAGTCGAGCTTTCACTGAATCTCTGCATCTTGTTTTATAATTTAGGCTCAAATAATCCGGCTTTCAACCTCTTCAGAGGTATGTCTCGCAGAGAAGAGGGATTTTTCCGATCTCAAGCAATACTCGTGGGTAGGGTTTGGACTTCGTTCTACTTGTCTATCCTTCTGTGCTCGTTGTTTACCCGGTACCTTGTACTGAAGCTTGCTTAGTGACGCAGAAGTAAAGGCAACGTTTTTCGCAGTGAACTGGCTCGGTCCTTATCCAACGTTTCTGTCATCGACGTCGGTCGTTGCTGTCCCGTTGTTCGCAACTTTCGTATCGGTCCAAAGCCTAAAATATCCTTCGAAGATGAGCGACGAACCTAAGTCCGAAGGCATGATCAGCCATGACATAGCTACCAGATTTACACCAGACGAAGAGCTATCTTACAGCTGTTCTTGTCGTTGTTATGTCTGCCTCTATTTTAGGACAGCACTGTGACAAGAGCCTGCAGCAATAAAATAACGACAATTGGTCGAGTGAAGCTAGTCGTTTATCCAGGACCTATTTCGGAGAGGAACTGAAGTCATATTTCTGACAGAAAAAAGCTACGCCAGAACAGTGCACTCTTCCAAGGATCTCACCGACATATGAAGCTTTTAAGAAATCTGATGAAAAACAGAAGACACGACTTACTTTTTATTGTTTCATACCGCAAAGAAAATGACTCCTATCCTTTACTATAGTATAGTTAATTTTTTATTATATAATGTAAGCGTTAAAATGGCTGTTTGCTTTAATACGGAATGTATTACTTAATTTTAGTGTACATATATATATAAAGCCAGAGTCCGCTTTCTTATTTGCTTTCGGCACCTTTTCCTATGTCCTATATAACTATATACTCCGACTGACCATCGAAGCAAAACCTCAGTATGTCGTGGATATTAAAAATTATGCTTGATGCCAATAAACTTTGTTTTAGTTCATTATATTATTGGTAATCCTTTGGAAGAATAGGCTTGTTGGCAACATAACTTATTTTTCTGCGCATAAATATTAAATCAACGTTTGTGCTGGCAATGTTGCATATTGGAACAACCATTAAGTTTATGAATTGGCAGTATCAGCCAAAAAAGGCATGATTCACTCTGACTTTGTAATACAAGTAATCAGCTTACAATAGTGACTCAAGAAAGTTAAAGATAGTACCTGCATTATACTCGCATGCGTAGTTACCACGTGTATCCATACCCCCAGCTTTTTCCTATACGCAACATATGGGATTTTGTCGGATAAATGCTTTCTCTACGTGCCTATGCGTACCACAGAGATATCAACAGTTTGTTCAAGAGAGAGGTAGGCTTCCTAATTAAGATATGCGTACCAGTTGCTGTAGTGCTAATAGCAGAAGTTGTAACCAGTTATATTAACTGGGAAAAACCCTTGTCTTCCTCGGTCGTTTTCAGTATTCTGGTAATCCTAACGACACTACATTGTTGCCGTTTAGCTGGCTACCTTACTTGATCACCAGCGTCCGTAGCGTGGCCCATTTTCAAATGACAAGATAGAACCAGGCCACATATATGCATGTGAGCTAGGCTAGGGTACGGACAAAACCCAGATCGTTTGGTTGATTGTGCCGGCTGCACGTCACAATGGCGTGTCATTATGCCGTCCGGCACGTAAGGAGAATAATTTGTATTAGCACGTAGTAGCATTTACTACAACTCATATCCTATGCACGTGGGCTTCGTTTTTTTTCTTTCAATCGAAATAAGAGTTCGTTTTTTTTTATTTTCTGTAGGTACAAGGCACAGGCTGGCGAGGAAATTGCCGACCATTTATGCACATCGAGGTAAGCGGAGCGCTAAGGAGAAACGCTCCGTCTAACTAAGCATTATAATTATGACGCGGGAGTTTTGCAACGTCGCCTGTTCTCAACTGTATAATACATTTTTTATTTATTGGTTATCGTTAATAATGTCGCTGCAAGGACTTACCTGCTTCGTCGAGGACAACAGTAACAATTCGAGTTGGCGTTTACGGACGAAGGACGCGACCCTAAACGACACAGCATGTGATACGGAAACACGTTAATCTTACTAGGCGTACTAAATCCCATATGAAGAATTAGAATATAACAACGAAGCGTCTTATTGCTCAATGCTCTGTTTTGCTGCTATGCCATTATATTATTGTTTTCAAACCCATAAAAAGTGTTTCAAACGGCGATCGAAATCGTTTAATATTATGCAGGTGTTCGATGTTCCTAATTTTAGACACGTCTGTATAAATTCTACAGCCCTATATCCTGTTCGCATAATAAGAATCATATGTAGCCACTGTATGGCTGGACAGAGGCTCACCACTTATAGTAAAACCAGTCAGACGCTACCAAACTACGCATAGGACATAAAAAAGTGCGTTACACCGATTTCGCTGCTATTGTCAGGGCTCTATTGTATTGACAAGCCAGCGGACGGTATATTTAGTCTTGTACCTTAGGTCGAATCAAAAACGCGTCAAGGAGAGGTTAATGTTCATTGTCGTTGAATAGAGCACTTGTGCGCGGTCTGCGAACCTATCAAATATCAGAGTTATAGTGGCAGGCGTGCTGTTTCTAAATCAACATTCCTTTTTATCGAAGAGTCCTATGGAGGGCCGCATGGATATGGAATTTTAATGGCACAGTTTCTCTGCCATTGGCCATTTCCGACGGTCATCAAGGTAACTAGAATAAGACGATAAACCAGGCCAAGTGTAAGAGCGAGAAGATGGCTAAATGAGGCAGCGCAGAAGTTGCCTCCACTTCATCGTCCTGTATGGGTAACGCTATCTCTGGGTGGGTATCTCTGGGTACGCTTTTATAATTATACGAATGGAACGGGCCAAACAAGGCTAACTCGAGCATGCACCACTAATTACTTTGGCCTCAGAGACGGACGCACCTCGACCGATCACCCCAGAGTAGTCCAATTGTAGTCAACAACTTCTGGACGAGTTTCGCTTTCTTGTTCTGTGTGTCTCGGAGCTTCTTGTTGAACAAAATGTTTTCTCTCAATCACCCGGTTCCTGTATGACGAGAAAATGACAGAGCGGCGGTTGCAACATTCACGATAAAATCTCTGTTTTAGTTCAGCTGGCCGGTCTTTTGTCAGTCGAGCACTATATAAGCATCGGTGGACTATACTAGCAGGTTAGGGTGCGATGGCCTAAGAAAGGTGCAATGCTAGTTTCCAGCGCGCGCAAACTGAGGCTTTCGTTTCTTAAAGCCTTTTTCTGATTCATTTTTCGACTCGGTGCATGCCTCTCATTGTTTAAATAAGCAAAAGCAGATTCGTTGTGCCCTTGTCAGCTTCAGTCCCGATTCCAACCTGAACCGAACTTGAGGTAGTTTCTTCAAAGGTGTTCGCAGCTCTTGACATTCGCTTTTTCTAATTACATTAAGTGGTACCATAGCTCGTCGCTAAATCTAATGACACGAATAAGCATGGAAATTCCCTCTTAGCGACGTAGTCACTCCTTCCACCACCCTGCTGTGAGTGAGGGATTGCTACTAAATATTGGGCTTTAATAAAACGTCGAATGAAGAAAGCAAAAATAGAACAAATGAACTGAGTTTACAACACTCGGATTTACCATAATGGAGGCTTGTGTTACATAAAACAAGCTTTGTGTGGCACATATTATGTACAGCTAGGAAAAAGGAAGGCGTAGCACGTATATGAAACAACCAACACATCCCCCACGGGTAAGCAACGTTGACGATGTCGTTGTCCGCATTGACTTTAGCGATTATCATGCGCTTGCTGCTCCAGAGCTCAAGATGACTTTTTCTTGGGACCACTTTCGACAGTCGGGAGAGAATTTAAATAACAATATTATAGGAAACAGAACAGCTTTAAAAAATATCTTCAGCGTCATTGTTTTAAAAACTGTTTTTGTACATCTCCAAATATAGGCTTGAGCATTCTGTGACACAGATTCACACCAGGGCACTATCTAAGCTTTAGATATTTTCTCTTATTATAAAACATCTGATAATTGTATTTACATCGTGCACAGCACGATTTGATTTATTATGATATATGTTAATCAATGACCTCAGACGAGATATATTGATTTTTTTCACGCATATAACAAGAGGCCAATAACTTTAAAAGATGCTAGAAGAAGCAGGTGACGAAAGACTCAAAGCATTGCCAACCTTTAGTTGAAACCAATTTGCGACTAAGTAGGCTGAAGGCTGTCGTAAAACGGGATGGGCAGATACCCAGGTCAGTTAGCTCCTTAAGTGTAATTTGGTGATCCATTGTAATAAAGACAGACATGCGGTTGAAATCAACGTAGTGCTATTGTGTAAAACTGTTTACTGGCATGGCCCAAATCTAGGCCACTTGACGGCTGAGCATAAGTAAAGCGATGGATAACGAAACCATGTTGGACAAAATAAAAAAGATTCATCTTTACACAAAAATTAGGCATATGATGTTTTTTTTTTCAGAAACGCAGTTGGCGATTCAGCTCTAGGATTTAGGGCGGCGCTCCTCTTATTTGTTTTACTATCTTGTTTGAACACAGATGTGACGATGCTTGAACGAAAGAGATCTGGGGCAACGTCATCATGGTAAAATCTAGCAAAATGAGACTTAGGATTTCAGCAAGAAAGGAGAAAAGTTTTCGTAAAATATGGATAAAATATGCTTGAGTGCCAAATTCGGCCTTATCTCAAGTCGAAATAGTCACCTAATAGATAAAGCTTGGAAATATCAATTTGTGAATCCAGAAACTGCAACTGCTTGCGTATGGAAGAATAACTTATGTTAACTGACGATACCGAAACAATCGGTAGAAGGTATAATGAACGTAGAAATGGCCAACTATAAATAGAGGAATGTGTGGTAGAAGCCGACAGTGACAGGAACAAGAGCAACTTGCGTCCCTTTAGTCGAGGATTGGCGTATTGGACAAGGGTTAATGAAATCAAGCTTCTATTCCCCCAGAATCCTACATCTACAACGACGCCTTGTCGATTTCGCGGGACAGAGCAGTGAAATGACATGAAACAGAGTCGATAAGATAGTTCGAGCAAGCGACGTAACTTCAGATACTTTGATTGGATGAATCAGAGTCATCTGCGCGTAACTAGGGGCAGCACTCAACAAACTGCTGGCACATCTCATTTAAATTCCCACGGATATCAAAGAAGACCTTTCAGTTAGTTTGGCCTAAATACACTATGGTTGACTCACATCGAATTTTCCTGAAATAGAACTTGTTCGCTGAAAACGGATAGTCAGAATCTTTCAGCAGTACTTCGAACAAAATGGCTTAATTATTCGTATTAGCCGGCCAGTTACCAGATGCCTAGTTGCCATTGAGGTCCGGGCTTAACATTAATAAAAGATTTAGATATGGCTCCGGTATATGTGTAGCGTTTGTAGCTAATGGCCCGGAAACAACGGGAAAAAAATACTGCTTTTTAATGGTAGAGCCAGAAGGGGGCGCAATATTCTAGTCGATTCGAACAAATTGAAATCGCCGATTATGATTATCTAACTGTGTTGCGCATAGCATCACACAGGCTTTTAGAATGCTCAGTTCTTGTTTGGCTAAAACACAAGCTTCGTGAAGGACAATCGTTTTGAAAGACATCATCATTAGAGGATAACCCAGAATCGCTGCTGTCAAGCCAAGCTCCATAAATATTAATTCGATGTTATTAAGTAAACAGTACGTACGAGTAAAGTTCAGAGCATTCAAATTAGCACAGCAGCGAAGATCAAGGTACGTACATTTTAATTGTCGATTGGTTGCCGATGGCCAGTTCGGGGTAGTCAGTGGGTGTGTTCTAAGCTCCCCAAGCACTTGTGTCATCAACATCCTCAACGAATTTAAATAGTATTTTATCCGATAGCAGCTATATAAGTAACGAATTTCCAATAGTACCGACCACTCAAAGGTTCGGATCTAATACAATGGCTAAACCCCTTTACTGACAACGAGGCAAATATTACGTTACGTGGGAAGCGCCACACCAGTAAGTGTTGTCTCAAGTCTTACAATCATATGTAAGTTGGACGCTCTAAAAGTTAAGTGCTAGTTTCAATCCAAATATTTGCATTCTCCTGCTGCACTGCTAGCGGAAGGTTGGTGCCGACAGCAGCTGTTTTGATTATGAGAATTATGAGCACATGATCGTGCCGGTTATTTATACGTTAGCGGATACGAGCGCACTCGGGCAGAATGTTGCCTAAGGTCCCGTAATGATCGGGAAGGTCTCTCCATGCAAGGGTGCGCTAACCGAAGAACCAACGTGGGTATTTGCATCCAAATAAAAGGACGTTCGATTTTGACACTGAACAGAAAGGATGGCGAACTTTTTCTTGCAATTCACTTACGCAAGCGGACAGCTTGATTTAAGTAATGCCAAATCCTACGTTTGATGTAAGATTATCAGAGATCCGTCGGGGAGCTTTCCCGCATAGATTGAGCACGCAAGTGGTTTGTTTATCGTAGGACTACTGGCAAAACATTTTACGTGATCAGTGGCACCAAGACCGCCGCATCAAAAAATACCGGGACCTGTCGGGCATAGTCCGAGATCCTAATAAAGCAGAACATGTGCACTCGGATACTAGGTATCAAAAAACGTACTACGTAATGAACGAGTCTTCATTTGGTTCTTAAGTAATAATAATGTAAATAACAATGATAGTAATTTATTGGAAAAAAAAGTTGATTTAGAAATATCGTTTCACAACATATGGGCCTTCTTTATGTCGATGTGCTACTTTGTTCTCAGGCTACATTTTATTTCATTATGTGACACATTTATTCCTAACCTCGAATGTATGCCCCTTGCCTTGACACTTAAAAAGATAGATGAATTAATGGTGGTCATGGCTAATAAACAGTTACTTCACGTACAATAACAATGAAGCACGCTTTTAAGAAATTCGAAGTTGAGTCCCTAGTTATTTTAGCGCAAGTAAGATCATCGTGTTAGCTTGTGTCAATATTCCACTTCGATATTTATTTAGTTATTATTGAAAAACGGT